CCAATATATGGTCCTCTCCCAGGCTTATCTGTCCAGGATAACCCTCCATTCATCAAGCGGGGAATATTTCCTGCCACAGTGTCTCACTTCACACTGAATGTTAAAATATTTTCCCACATTTCCATCCATTGAAGTGGTGCCCAGCGTAGCTCTCAGCACAAGCAGTGGCCTTCCCCATGTTTGTGTCAACAAGGTGAACTCAAAACATTCACAACAGAAGTCTACTCCAGGAGTCTCCTGGAACTGCGGCCATCATGTTTTAAGAACTGCAGTGCCTTCACTCAGATAGGCCTGATACAATTTGGGATGCAATGACACTGCTTTACTGCCTGTGCAAGAGAGTTTTGAAAGTCTCCTAAAATTTCAAGTTCCACTCATTTTTCAAATCCATCAGGAGGAAAGCAGCCAGTTCTGAGAAGACGCAGCTCAAAGGCAGATGTCATCCCAGACTGAGCAACTCCCAAGCCAACAGGAAACACGAGGCTTGAAACAGGACTGGTTTTAAATATGAAATTGTGATCAGGCACGGCAGCAGAGGAAAGGGCAAAATCATCATCTCCCGGTCATCACTGAGAGACAAACACCCGACACCGCCTTCATCCCTTGCACAATTGATTGCATCCCTCAGGAGGGCCCTGCAGCCCTGGGAAGCTGCCTTGCACCCCATCCTGAAGCACGTAGAACCCCACTTCTGGCAGTATGAGTAACCCTGAGCCACTGCCCAGCACCACCCCCTGGCAGGAGCAGCTCAGCTGTAGGACACACAGAAGAATCTTTACGTTCAGAACAAATAAGATCATGTAGGCTCGCTTTAAAGACTGGAAAACTGCAAACAGCAGCTTTGGTAACAGGCACCAGTTAAATTTAACTTGTAGATTCAATTACAGTCCATTACACAGAACAAATTAAATCAACGCCATGCTGATGCTGTAGCGGATTGCAGTGTGCATCCTGCAACAAACAACTGCAGCAGCTGTCAGCAAAGTCCCAGACAATGACAAATGTCAACATCATAAACTGACACATTATCACTGCTATTGTCATTCCTTTTTCCATCATGAAGGATAATGGAGTTAGTCAGAAAAAAAGAATTATTTTCCACAAGAAAATTAAAATGGCAGATCTCTGCAACTAATCCTCTGCATAGACAGTTTGAAATGAGGTATTGCTTGACACCAACCACATCAAGCAAAGCAAGGCACTATTTATTCACTAGAGGAGAATGAAGGAGAGTGGTCCCTGTGGGCAGCATGATGCATCCCTACAGGCTGCAGATGCAGAGGTCTGGTCTAACATCATGCACCTGTCCCTGCCTGGGTGTGATGCTCTGGTGGGTGATGGACACCTAGAACAAAACAGCTCTCCTGGGTTTTACAGCCTTGATTTATAAGAAAAAGAATAAGCTGCAGCACTTGCTTTTTATTGGGCACCTTTAGGAATCACTAAAAAGAAAAATCATGACACAAATTGACACGGGTTGCTGGGTGCATGTAATGATAACTGAAGGGCAAGGATGTTCAAAAGTCAGTGTGGAGACATAAATGTGCCAGGAGCTGCAGGTAATTCTGGAAAACCAGCCATGTAATTCTCCAAATCAAAGTCACTTGGCTGCACTCAGCAGTAATTAGCAGAAAGCAATCTCCCTGGCTGGGCATGCTTTCATCTTTCTGCTAGGATGATATCTAATTCCTCCTCTTCCCTTCCTTCCTATCGATGGAGCTCTGCTGTCACAGAGCTGCCCTGACCCCAAACCACATGCAACCACCCAGCTCCACATTCACTGTCCACGTGGACATCATCACTGCAGGAAGTGGTGGGGAAGCACAGAACCCCACAAGCACACATACAACTGTCACTAAGCCCCAGCCTCACATAATCTCTGCAACCCTTGGTGCTATAAGCCTAAACCCCCATTACAATATTGAGAAAGGTGAACAAAGATGCTTTAGATGTTGGGCTTCTGGATCTCCTGGACCACACCACAGCTACAACCACCAAAAATGCTCCTGAAAACACTGCAAATGCACACTTACAATTAGAGGTCCCCTGTTGTTTTCACGGTACTTGTTCTGGAAGAAGATATAAACCACGGTGGCAGCCAGCGAGTAGAGGAAGGCGAAGACTGCAATGGTGACAAAGAACTCTGCTGACGAGGAGAAGTCCCCTATCAAGGAGAGCGTTTCTCGGCGCTTGCCTTCACAAGTGGGAGCATCGAAATTCACTTGATGCAACCTGGAAAACACCCCAAGGAGCAGTAGGTGAAGCACAGAAAACCATTACCTGAATGAAGATATAAATATACTTGCTGTCTCCCTGCCTTATTCCCGATGTGCATTGATCTCCTGCTTGAATTGTGTGGGCTGTTCTCCTTGAAGCTGCTCACACACGTGGGGTTAATTCTTAGTGAGATTCTGAGCACATCTTTTCATCAATCTTTCAATCAATCAGAGAGAAGATCTGATGTTCCTCTGGTTTGGTACAATTGCCCCCCCTTACTGAGATTCTGCCATGACAACAACTGAAAAAAAGGGTAACGTGAGAAATGAAGCGATTCGGTTCTTGAATTCTTACGATCAAGGAAGAAAACAGGGCTTATCTCTCTGTCGTGGCTATGGGACATCTACATTTGTAAGCTTGCATCTTCCTTGTGTAACACTGCTTAGTGCATGGCTACGGCAGCTATTGGCTTCTATACCAAAGGCTTTTAAAGCCAAGCTGCAGCAGAAATACACAACTTGTGTCAAAGAAACAGCCTGCAAGCCTTGGTTTTAGCAGTCAAAGCCCTACTCTTGTGCTCTCACACTGCAGTCAGCCACCGAGCTAATAGTTTTGTGGTTCTGTCTGGCAGCTCCTGTCAGACACTTTTTTGCTTTAATAATTTTAATTTCTGGTTCTGAAAGAGGAATAGGGTCCCTAGGGGGGTGCTTTGGCTGGTAGCATCGTGTTGCCCCAGATTAGCATCAGTGGGGACAAGGGGCCTGACGAAGGCTCATGCTGTTGTGCTCTGCACTGGGACAGCAGAGGGGATGAAGCCAGCAGAAAGCTAACAGCAGCAATTAAAGAAGTTATGATCTGGTGCTGAGAAAGGGTGAGGCCTTCTGGGAGACATTCTTCTGCTCAAGGGCAATTAATGTGAGCAGCAGCGAGCCAACAGCAGCCGTGAATATATGACTAAATAAAAAGCTGGGTCCCTTGAGAGAAACAAAGATATATTAATGGACACCGGAGCATCGCTCAACCTTTCTTGGTCCAAACTAAGCACATCCAAAGCGTAGCAGAGCTTTTTGATCAGCAGCCCATGCACAACAGCAGCTATCTGCCACGGGCACTGCCTTCCCCCAGCTTCTGCTGCTGTAGTTGAGGTGGGATGAAAACATGTGTCTGCTCAGATTGCAGACAAGCAGCAGTTGATTCCCTCCTCAACACAAACACAGCAAAGCCCACTGAGAGCTGAATAAGTGAGAGAGACTAATGCCTCTGGACATACAGATAGCTTCTTGGCTTAGGTTCAGATCTTCCTGGCATTAGTTGGGTCTTACTGCCTTTTTGTAAAGGCAGAAAAGGGAAGAGGAAGATTTCCTAGTGGCTGCTGTACCAGTTCTGCAGCCTGGAGAGAGAGTGGCTTTGTTTTAACCATCACCAGCATTACAGAAAACTTCTGAATGCCAGATGTTCATAGCCCAAAAAGAAAGCTCTGTGCTTTCCTCACCTGGACACAGAATGAAACTGGGAGATGAAAACCTGGCCCAAAACCTATGAAATCAACAGCGTGGGGAGTGAATCAGTACAAAACCCCAGCCTCATTCCCCAGGGGAATGCAACACCATGCACAGAGGCTGTGGCACCACTTTCCTATTCCCTGTTTTCTGGATTATATCTCATTTCTGAATCATATTCTATTAACATCTTACACTTATCTTCCCAGCAGTGTTTTTCTGGCCAAGCATCTGTCAGTGATATCAGATAGCCTGTGATCACAGAAGCCTTCTTCCGTCAAGTTATTTTTGTTCACTAGCTTTTCCCCTTTAGATTTCTTCAGCCTCTGAGAGGAAGTGCAGTAATTGGTGCCTCTTGTGGCCACTGCACCTCTGCCCAAACAACCGAGATCTCAGCTGAGCAAAGGGTCCCAAAATAGGCTGTGACATAGACCTGGGAAGAGAGGATGCTGGCTTTCAAGACGCATTTGAGAAGTTCCTTTCAGACTGGGGACGATCAGTGATAGAAATTCCAGTTTTAGTAATCAAGCCTGCTTTGATCTGGAATGGCATCCCAGAGGGGAAGCTCCAATTTTCCCACCAAAGCTGCTGAGTCAACCTCTATGGGGGCTTGATCATTTGGTGGTGACTCACAAAAAATTAATTGCATCTACATCTCTGCCTCCCACTTTCTCCTTCTCCTGCCTCTCATATCCTCTGACTTCATCTTCATTCATTTTCTCTCATCTCCAATTTTTTACAACCCACCTTCTCCTCAGAGCCATCCTCAGTCAGCATCCTCCTTCTGTTGCTTTTCTGCCTCCAGTACCACCCCTGTATTTCATTCTCACTTCCCCATTTCCTGGGCAATACTGGGAGCCCTGAGAGTGACTCTTTGCAATCACACCCTCTGCTCTTCATTAACATCTGAGCAATACTGTTGGGCTGTGTTAGCAGAAGTGATTGTTACTGATTGACAAGTTATGCAAATAAAAAGCACTAATGTATTTATCTATTTAAGAAAAAAAGTAATGAAATCCTTTCTGCCCCAGCAAATTCCCCCAAAAGTGCTATCTGCCCTGTGCTGTGTTGCTATTAATTCAGAAATGAAGCTGATAATTCAGGAATGTGACCTTGCAGCCTGCACACAGCAGGGCAGAACTGAAGCCATCCTCACTGCTCATCACTGACACCAACCCTTCACCTGCTGGGTCTGTTTGTCAACAACAGCCACCAATGCCAGGCTTTCCAGGCCTGAATTCCCCCAGATCCACATGAATCTGAAGCAAAGTCCACCAAAGGCTGTTGAGTTGCACTGATGAAGTCATAGTAACTAAGGTCTTATGAGATCTATTCTACCACTTGGCAAACTTTCTGCTGCTGTAGGAAATATAACAAGACGACTGCATTGTCTGGCTTGACAAGACCAACAGAGGGTAAGAATATTTTACTGTGGAAAAAAAAGGATTTTTACATTGTTCCACTACAGCAAAGAGTGGGTTGGCTCTTAGACACTAATTACCTGTGAGCTGAAAACAATGCATGAAGCCAGGCACACTGAACAATGCTAGAGCTGGAACATGTGCGTGGGGGAGCATGAGCTGTGCTCTCTCTGTACCAGCACAAGGTTGTCTTTCCTTCCTGAACTTCCTCAGTGCAAGTCTCGTGGGAATTTGCTTTTAATTAAAGTCCCTCTCTTTTCCAGAGCCATCTAGCTCTACCAACAGGCACAGGATGAGAGCCCAAGCAGGAGAGCACACACTGAGCATTCCAATCTCCCCCGACTGAAGAAATCTTTTAGCAGTGCTTAGCCTTGAAGCCAACAGAACATGTAATTAATAGTAAGTACTTGCTCAAGTATTATTGATGAACAGGTAAAGATTTCCCCTCCTGAGGTTTGATCAGTGCCTGGATTAACAAAGACCAGATAAAATTCTGCTTCTGAAAATTCTCAATGGGGGCTACTGTTTCTCCATTCGTTTACTAGGATGCGGTGAAAGAAATACAAGTAAAAAAATCAAGTTTTGGCAGACTGTCCTATTTTCTGCAAATAGCATCTTGTAATCCACCCCCCAACTCGTCCATGACACACTTGCACAAAATCTGCAACACCCACACACGCACTTGCAAAAATGCAAAGATCCATTATCTGTGCACTGGGCTTTATTTCCCCCTCGCTTGTTTCTGGGAGTCACACTGTCCATTGTATTTACTGTCTGAAAAGCAATCAGAGAAATACATTACTGGAAATGAGTTACTGCAAGTAGTGACTGTGGAGGGATCTGTTGTGAAATGTTTATCTTGGCTGATAATCTCCAAAACAAGGGACAAACGAGGTTTCAAAATACAGAAGGGAAAAGCTGAAATGCGCAGGGCCCAGCGGCTCTGGTGAGACATGAAAGTGATGGGGATTTTTGTTTTGCTCTGGGATGCAAAGTGATGTTTACTATTCAGATAACAGTAGAAATCTGTCTGAGAAGAAAAGGCTTATGCTTGGGCAGGGGAAAACACAAGGTACAGAATGCTCACCTGCCACAACAGACATCCCAGCCCTGCCTGGCATCACCAGGAGGTTTCACACACCTCTTGAACACATTTATCCCTAACTTCTGCCCTGACAGCTGAACATTCTAATGATCCCCCATTTGTCACAGCTCTCTTCAGTGATTTACACCACCTGGATGTAAGTCTAGAGCAGGCATTGCTCAAAACCCAGATGATGCTACCAGGAAGCCAACTAGTAAAACTCCACTGAACCACATTCTTTTCTGGTTTATGTCCAGTTAAAATACTGGAAAACATTCACCCCCCTCTGTTTTCAGTCTAAGTTGTCAGGCTCCCAACTCTCTCTCACACATAGCTGTCGTGCAAACATTTGGCCAGTGCTGTTTTGCTGGAGTGCTGTTTTTAATAGGACAAGCTGTCAGCCACAGTTGCTGTCTCAACACAGCATGCTGCTGCCTACCCAGAGCAGCACGGCATTCACATCCTCTACTCCTTCCATCTCCATTCTTCATCTCCTATCTCTTCTTTCATTAGCACAGTGAGATTCTGCAAGTATTCAGGTCTCTACAAAGCAAAAGACCAGAACTGCGTGGAGGATGGGGTATAAAGGCTTGGGTGTAGGGAAAACCCTAGTACAACAGAGCCCTGTCCTTGCAGGTAGCATGTCTGGAAGGCCAACAGTATCCTGGGCATCAATAGAGGGGCAGCCAGAAGGGAGAGGGAAGGGATGGGAATTGTCCCCTTCTGCACTGCCCTTATGAGGCTCCCAATACAGGAGGGATGAGGAGCTGTTAGAGTGGTTCCTAGGAGGAAAGGTTGAGGGAATTGGGTTCATTCAGCCTGAAGAAGAGATGGCTCTAGGGAGATTTCACTGCATCCTTCCAGAACTTGAGGGGAGCTTTCAAACAGGAAGCCTTTTAACACAGTCTACTAGTAGTAGGGCAAAGGGGGATGGCATTAAGCTAAAAGAGAAGAGATTTAGGTTAGATGTCAGGAAGAAGTTCTTTACTTGGACAGTGGTGAGGCAGTGGCACAGCTGCCCAGAGCTGTGGGTGCCCATCCTTGGAGGCACTCAAGGCCAGGCTGGATGGGGTCCTGGGCAGCCTGAGCTGTTGGGGGGCAGCCATGTCCCCAGAAGGGGTTAAAACTGGGTGGGCTTTAAGTTCCCTTCCAATCCAACCATTCTACGAAATCTCTTGGAAAACAGCCCACACAGCAGCTTTGTCCCATTCTCCCACAGGGAGACACAGCAGTGCACCTCCCCAGACTGCACCCGTAACAGGAATTCAAGCCCTACTACTCCATCGTAACACCAAAAAGGAAATAAAGTGTCTCGTTATAGAACACATGCTGCTGCAAGTACTCACAACGTTGAGTGGGTGATCCCAGCCCCAATTCCAAGCCTACATCCAGACCCAGATTTATTTCCCGAGATACTTTCACAGCTCTCCTCAAGCACACGCTTCTCCTTCCCATGCAAACAGAGCACAGCACTCAGACATCCTCCACCAGACTGTGCCAACCCAAACATCTCCTCACACTGGGCTTTGTGTCACAGACAGGAAGGGTTGCAGATCTGATGATTCGTGGGCAGGGGGTGCACCAACCCTGTGGGTATTCTTTTGGAGCAACACTGGAACCAACACACTTTGCTGCTGCCCTTTGCCCTGTGAGAAGTAAGGTTCACATACAGTTTAATCTATGTCTGTAAGTCCTGAAAGCAGAAGTTTCATCTTCAGGGCCAGCTGAGATAAATACACACACAAGAGCAATTACAGAAGCAGCAGCAGCATTCATTCCTTTGTGTTATATTTTCATATCAACGCTGTATTTTAACAATAATTTTCCCAAGCATGTTGTCCTAAGGCACTTGAGGCAATCAAATTCATTCCTCTATAGAGTTTTACAGCACGTCTCCAACAGAACTCCCAGCCAAGGCATCTTCATTCCAAGCACTTTTCTGAGGGACCCTACGGTGCCAGGTAAACCTTCAGGGCTGCTGCACAGCAACATGCAGACTTGGGAGCAGGGGAAGGATGTGCGTTTGATGGCTGCCACACGGGGCATGGGATCAGATGGCAAACAAAGGAGAGCCAAAGGGTTTCTACTTCGGTTGCTTTTGCACTGGCACCGTGAAAACGGGCGAGAAGAAAATTGCAAGGGAAGTTGTAAAAAGCCTGGCTTACAGAAGAGGTCTTTGTGTCATGCACAGATAAAATGCCATCACCATACAACGCTGTAGAGACTATTCATGAATATATATTAAAAATTCAAATTGGAAAGAAGCTGCATATATTAAGAAATCAAAGAATGACTTCCACTTTAAGATCAAATTATGGTCGAAGTATTAAAGAATTTTTCTGACACCAAAACAGTGTTAAGCATAAAATACAGCATCTATAAAGCCAAATAAGCCAGTCTGGATCAATACCATCCACATTCATCAAGACTCCAATTGCTTTGTGTGCCAAAATAAAAGCTTCTACGACTTAATGAAGATTTAAGCAGCACCATTCTCCGTCTTCTGCAGCAGACACCTTCTCCAGAAAGTTGCTTCCACTTTCCTTCTCCATCTGAATTTTTCCCTATTAAAAATTCATTGAAAGCTGAAGAGAAATGTATTTGTTGAACACACCTGGGTCACCTTTTCCCAGGGCTGGCAGACAATGTAAAAGCAGCTATAACAAAGCCAAGGTTCACCTGGTGGAGTTCAGAGTTCAGCCTGATTATGGACCTGCTTCCCTGCAGACACCTGGCCAAGGTCTTGCATGCTCAACCACTAGGGATCCACAAGCCAGGGCCATTCCTTAAACATCTCAGTTAACGCAGTTCATGGATGGATCAATTGCAGAGTCAGAAGGGACCACTGCAGTTGTGCTGCTCAGCCTCCCAGCCAGTGAACTACACTCGATAATCCCCTCAGCTCATTTGTGCTAAAGGCACACAGCTTTCCAGGAGCTGAAGGAAGGAGACTGCTCCATTCCAGGTTGGAATGGGTCACGCACAGTTGAACCAACTCTGTTCTGTTTCCTGGGAGCTCAACCAAACCCACCCGGAAACCAGGGCAACTGCATTTTGGCACTGAGCTCACCTAAAGCTGATGCAACTTCCATGGCTAGATAGTAGAAAAGCAAGCTAGCAGAAGCGCTAGGAAACCTCACTTGGTTTTGCAGGAGCATCTTTTGTGTATTGAACACACGCAAAATGAAATAGGAAGTGAGATGGCTCTATCCCTTCCTGTTTCCCACCCTACACTGGTAATGCAGTCCCTGAAATGTCAAACATACTCAAGACCATGATGCGTGTGCTACCTAACAGGTATGGAAGTCCTCTCCAAACCTCTCTCAGAAGGCAGGAGTCCTATTCACCCTAATAATCAGCAGCTCCTCACTTCCCAGCTGAAACAGATGTTTAATCTTCTAGTGAAAATACTTTTCATGGAATTCTGAAGCAAGATTTACTACAAACGGGTAAAGAAAATTGAAGACCGGTACGTTCTGGCAAAGTAGTATGCTAATATTAACAGAGGCTTTTTCCAAAGAAAGATTGCTGCAAAGCACAGAGTTAGCTACTTTCTCCTTAATAATCATCTGTAGCTTCTAAGTAGGTAGTTTGGATCTGGTAGTCATATTTCAGAAGAAGGACAAGCCTGCCTACTGCATGCAGATGAGGTGTACACTTTAAAGGGTACTCAATGGAAATATCTTTATTCAAATGAGATTCTCAGAGAGTGAATGAAAAGCTTCCACAAAACACAATTTCCTTTTCCTTCAGACATAGGGATTACTTCCAGACACAGCTTTGGTAGCATGCTGGAAATACATGTGCTGCATAGCAAAGGCATGTACAGGCATCTGACTTCATCAAGCTTTTCTATAAGCACCAGCACTCTACCCACTGGCCTATACGCTCAGCCCTCCCAGCACATATGCACATACTTACCCTAACCATGTTAAGCATGTGACATGAAGCTTTATGTAGCAAAAATCTTCAGTACAGACACTGCCACATTGCTGTTCTGAATCCTTCCAAGCTCCCTGTCTGCTGGAACCAATGATTTCTCCAAATCCATCCATGCCAGTTAGTGGAAACTTGCTGTCCTGTTGAGCCCTACATATTGATGTTTAGTTGCTTAAGGCTCCCAGCACTTACTTACCAGCTAGCCAAGGTCTAGCTGTGCACCTCCTAGGAGAAGGAAACCAATATCCTTACACTCAAGGCAATTGAAGGAGAGCAGCTGCTCATACAGCTGGATGCCCCTCTACATCACAAGCCCTGCTGGAAGGTGCAGCTCTAAAAGCAGCACTCAGGTATTTGGCTGCTTCAGTGCCACTGC